GGTTGTGCCAATATTCTTCCACATATTGATCTGAGGAAGTGGGTCTGGCCCACGAAAGCTCATCGCCTAATAAACCATCTTGTTAGTCTTTGAAGTGCTGCATACTCCTGTCTTTTGTTTCAATTATTCTGGGAAACAGTGAGATGTCTGTGTGTTTGCACTGACAGCTTTTATGATTATTCACTGTTTAAAATTTTTGCATCCTAAAAGTCTTTCTGTATGAATGTACTTACATAAATCACTATTTATTCATTTCATGAGTATTCTCCTTTTTTATTTAAGAAAAGTAACATTAATTTTTAAATAATTAAAAATTAGAAATGCTAACTTTGTGCATCGAAAAAACTATGAACTTTGGACATTCTCAGAATGTGAGCATGAACCAATGCAAGTTAATAGGTAACTAAAGACATTATAGCCCCTCAGGTTAGATGCCAGTGAACAGAATTCATAATTATTACTGAATACTAGGGGTAACGTCTTGGTAATTCCAAATTTTGGCCTTTTAAAGTGTTTATTTTAAACTTACTTATAGTGCTGTTCCACATGGTGTCTTACTGAAACTTAAACTTTGTCAATGTGGGTATGTCTACATTGCAACACTGTTTTGCAATAACTAGCACTATTCTGAAATAACTTAGTCTGAGGCTGTGTCTACACTGCACCCCTTTTCCGGAAAAGGGATGCAGATGAGACAAGTCAGAATTGCAAATGAAACGGGGATTTAAATTTTCCCCGCTTCATTTGTATAAACATGGCTGCCGCTTTTTTCCGGCTCGGGGATTTGCCGGAAAAAAGCGCCAGTCTAGACGGGGATCTTTTGGAAAATAAAGCCTTTTCCGAAAGGTCCCTTATTCCTGATTTTAAAGAGGAATAAGGGATCTTTCGGAAAAGGCTTTATTTTCTGAAAGATCCCCGTCTAGACTGGTGCTTTTCTCCGGCAAAGCCCTGAGCCGGAAAAAAGCGGCAGCCATGTTTATACAAATGAAGCGGGGAAAATTTAAATCCCCGCTTCATTTGCAATTCTGACTTGTCTCATCTGCATCCCTTTTCCGGAAAAGGAGTGCAGTGTAGAGACGGCCTGAGTGTACACAACAGGCAGTTATTTCAAAATAGGATCAAAATACTGTCAAGCTGGAGGATTTCTTACTTCAACTCCTGTAACCCTCATTGTATGAGGAATAAGGGAAGTTGGAGGAAAAGCACTCTATTTCAAAATAAGTGCAGTGTAGGCACTTCCTGGGTACGTCTAAACTACGTTTTATTTTCGAAAGAGGCTATGGGAATTTGCATATCTTCTTCCAGTCTCACTTTCAAGAGCAGAGCTTTTGAAAGTGAAAGTACATAGTGTTAAAGGAGAAGTGGGAGGCCATACTGACATTTCATTAGATTTAAAAATGAAAACTTTTTTTTCAAAAACCATGTAAATCTCATTTTTTAAGGAAGAGTGGGTTTTTTTTGAAAAAGGGGTTTTAAGGAAGAGTGTTTTTTTTCGAAAAAGGGATTTTTTCCCCGAAAAAACTATGTCCAGATTACTTTCACTTTCAAACTTTCCACTTTTGAAAGTGAATTGAAAGAAGATATGCAAATTCCCATAGGATTTACATATCCTCTTTCGAAAATACAGTGTGGTCTAGACATAGCCCCTATTTCAAAATAAGCTATTTTGAAATAAGATACGCAATTGACGTAGCTCTATTTGTGTAATTTATTTTGAGTTAAGCTCTGCAGTGTAGATACACCCTGTGATAGATATGCTTGGTTAAGATATAAACACCGACTATCCATTCTTTATCGGTGTGTGGAAGAATTATGTGCACAAATCTCCCACACACTGATAAGAGAATAGACCACTTAACGTGAATGTTCTTTGGCATTAGAGATAGAAGGATGGTGAAGTACATAGTGTTAAAGGAGAAGTGGGAGGCCATACTGACATTTCATTAGATTTAAAAATGAAAACTTTTTTTTCAAAAACCATGTAAATCTCATTTTTTAAGGAAGAGTGGGTTTTTTTTGAAAAAGGGGTTTTAAGGAAGAGTGTTTTTTTTCGAAAAAGGGATTTTTTCCCCGAAAAAACTATGTCCAGATTACTTTCACTTTCAAACTTTCCACTTTTGAAAGTGAATTGAAAGAAGATATGCAAATTCCCATAGGATTTACATATCCTCTTTCGAAAATACAGTGTGGTCTAGACATAGCCCCTATTTCAAAATAAGCTATTTTGAAATAAGATACGCAATTGACGTAGCTCTATTTGTGTAATTTATTTTGAGTTAAGCTCTGCAGTGTAGATACACCCTGTGATAGATATGCTTGGTTAAGATATAAACACCGACTATCCATTCTTTATCGGTGTGTGGAAGAATTATGTGCACAAATCTCCCACACACTGATAAGAGAATAGACCACTTAACGTGAATGTTCTTTGGCATTAGAGATAGAAGGATGGTGAAGTACATAGTGTTAAAGGAGAAGTGGGAGGCCATACTGACATTTCATTAGATTTAAAAATGAAAACTATTGCACAAAGTCTGTTGATATTGCACAGGAGTTTTAAAAGACTTTACTGTTGTGGGTGTTGGGTTGCTGTAATGCTGACTGTCAGTTTTTCCTCTTTAAAAATGGCTTTCAGTAGTTCATACACAACAAGTTATGATCATATTTGATGGGCTTTGCTAAAGCACCTTAGTGACTTCAGTACTTATGACAGTAGGAGTTATGCCCCAAAGTCATTTAGGAATTTTAAAAATTTCATCCATTCACTATTATGGCCAGATTGTGACCAATTCAGCCATATATAGTAAGTGATTTGGAGTTCCATTTCTGCAGCTGGTTCTTTGGCTGGCATTGTATCTCTTCTGCAGATTATAGCATGTTCACCTCTTCTGAAGAGGGCACAAGGACCAGGTCCTGGTAAATCCCAGACAAAATACCTAACTCCTATAGTAGGCAGACACTGCCTCTTTTATAGAAACAAGCACAGGAAGCATCTCTAGTCCTCCAATATTTTCATTCTCCCTTTGCATAAGAAATGCTGTTGTGCTTGGCCCTTCTGCAGCAGGCAGAATAAAGAGAAAGAACTTTCATGTGCCAACTAATTCTTTGTCCGAGCTGCACAGGGACTAGGCATAGTCCCGCTTCAGTCATGTGCTATTTATATAATTCAGGTCCAGGAGGGAATTGCTCCCCTTAGAACTTATCTTCAGTAGCCAGAAAAAGTTTATTTTGTCATCAGCATGTGGATTCTTGGTTCCCTTCCTCATCATTTGTAGCACTGGCAGCCTTCTTTAAATGGTTATCTAACCTAAGCAACATCTATTACAAAGCTAAGGTTACACTTTTTTGTTTATCCACAATGTTAAAGAAGCGAGACAGTGGATGTTTTGGCAGATCAAGCTTCCCATTCAGAAACAGAATTGATAGAGCCAGAAGAAGACATGAGGTAATCTTGTAGTTTTGTGTCAGGCTAGTTTTACTTCTCCCCTCATTGTTAGTGCCTTCAGTTTATAATTACCGTTGTGTGTCTCATTGTGGTGTATTTGTTTATTAGGAGCTTTAGAAGTAGGGTAATGGTGGCTGATATTATTCTGGGCCTATCTGTGGGAATTTCATTTTCTTTTCTCAGAGTCCAATTACTACCTCATGGAAAGCACGAAGAAACATTCATTTTAATGACTCTTTTATTGAAACACTCAGCAAAGTTAGCAACCCCAGAGAAAACTTTGCTCTGTCTCAGTACAGTCTTTTATAAAAATAATGTTGTTAATAATGTTAAGACTCTTCATAATGAGGCTTCCTGTGGTATCTCTCTCTATTTAAAATACTAATTAAAACTTGACTTTTGGTTACATTTAATCACCATCCAGTCACTCATTTTATTAACTAACTTCATTGTAAAATACCAGACTTACCTGTAGGGAGAGCCTTGAAAGGTAATATTAAATTAAGAGTTTGTAATTCGCTGGAGATTCCATCAACTCCATTGGAGGTGTGTGGGTTACAAATCTACTCAACCAATATGTACAACTTCATTTTAAAATTTAAAATAGATGTGTATATTTAAGAAAGTTGCTAGCCAATTTTTCCCCATTGTATTTCCCTTTGCAAGCAAAAGGATCAGATTGTAACCTGAGATAAAAAAGTACTACAAAAATCCAATAATTATTTAAGAACAAATGAAGCTGAACCCCACAAGTTATTTTGAAATATATCTTCATTTAGTCAATTTTGAAACCTCTTTATTTTCTTTTGACCATACTTTTTCCTTCCACTTCTCAATTTTTCCTCTTCCTGTCATTACATTGGCACCACAGGTTAGATGAAGGAAACAGGAAGATCATTTTTGCAAGAGACAAATCTTGTGTTACCTTGTAGAATATCTAAATATGTACTCTTCTAGTGGTAGTAGAGGTTTCTACTGACCAGAGCACTGAATACTGACTGTATGAAGCCATCATAAATGCATGGCGTATGTATTAACAGATGTTCTTTGTTTCTGAAGTTAAATCTTACAGATGACATCAATATATATAGCTTGTAAATACTGACTCTGGGCCCTGTCCTGCAAATCCTTTTTTATGTGTATTCTGATACTGAAATTAATGTAATTGGAAGGAACTACTTTTATGAGCAGAACCAGCAACTTATTAATATTAACAAGGCTTAATATTCTCTAATCAAATTTTTCCTTCAATGCTTGGTGTATTGGTATAGTTGGTTAACACTATATTAATGTTTTTACTGAGAAATTGTAAGGAAACAGATTATGGCATGGAAAGTTGTTATTGAGACACTGAAAACATGTCAGACCATTTATGAAGCTTTTTGGATGAGACAGCATACATCTATAAATACTGTATGTTATCAAGAAGCGAACTCAGAAAAGTTACCAAAATGTATATAACAGTGATTTTTCTCCAAACCAATACCATGCAGTATATTTATAACTAACAGAAAAATTAAAGGTCAACTGAGCTGCTTTTTGACTAACATTACAGGAATTGTGAAGCAGCAGCTAGACAGCCATATCAAAGATCCAGATCAACTGAACAGCGTCCTGTGCTAGAGCGGACCAACTCCCGCTCCCGATCCACAGAGCGTCCTGACTCAAACCTCATGAGGTCGATGCCTTCATTAATGACTGGAAGATCTGCCCCTCCTTCACCTGCCTTATCGAGGTGAAACAGACAAGTCAATCAAGCTAATTCCCTTTTGCCCCACCAACTCACATTTTATTTTCCCAGTAGCTAATGGTATTGCCTTCCATCTTTGGCTGATCACTAGTAGCAATAGATACTAACCCTGTCAGTGCCAACACACTACTTATATTCTATTGTGGATATAATGGTGTGGCTGCCATTGTAATTTGTTTACTAACGTATTTAACTACATTTGTTTTGTGATTTCTCATTTATCAGGAATCCTGGGTGGTTTCCGACATAAAACACCTCATAACTATCATGTTCTTCTTTTACAGAATGAGAAATTATTTGTGTTAATCTGACATCGCTTATGGAACAACCATCATAACAACATCAAATGAAACTATTTTTTAAAAAAAGTTTCTTTAATTAGATTGTTCTAATGTTGTGTATTAACCACTGTTTTTTCTGACTACATTTTACTGTGCCATAGTCTGTATTGTTCCTGTTTAAGTATATCACATTACTACAGATGCAGAAATTTAATAATTATGTAAACTCCTTTTAGTACAACTACAAGAAAGAAAATGTAACTATACATGGAGCTAATTTGGTTGAGTGGGAAATCGAATGAAACATCATCTTATTTTAGGACTGTAAAATATATTTCTTGGCTTTTTATAGTAAAAGCTAATTATATCAAGAAACAATTCCCAATGTAATTTTTCAGTATTTTACTTAATTTTCACTTAGTTAAACCCTCATAACTTCATTGTCAGGCAGAGGAGCTTAAATGAGTATAAAAAGGAATAAGAATCTGAGCATGTGGCCCCTACATGGTTTTGTATCTATGCATGTATTTAATCAATGTACACATGCACATACATGCATACATACACACAGAAAATATGCCGAGTCAGCTACAAAAACATATTACATGTCAATATTTAGTCTTATTTTGGCTTTTTGCTTCAAGCAGAGTTTTCTCTGTTTAATTGGCAGCTAGTTCTCCTATGGAAAGGACAGCAGTGCCACTACCGTACCTCAAGTGTTCTAATTGTACCAAAAATGTCTTACTCATTTTATTAATTCTGTTTGTATTTAATGACTAATGTGGATTTTAATGGGCATGGGTTTTTTTGTGTGTGTTCTGTAGGGCACATCCTCGAACTGGGTCTGTCCAAACAAGTCCATCAAGTACTCCAGTAGCAGGACGAAGGGGCAGACAATTACCACAGCTCCCACCAAAAGGGACACTGGAGAGAAGTAAGTGTTATGTTTATGTGACTTCAGAATTGCTTGTGGATTGTTAAAAGGAAGGAAGGATTGGTTAGTATTTACTATCTTTCTTTTGGAATTTGAACCTCGCACTCTTCTTGCTGTGTAGAACCAGTATTTGCCAATAGTTTTGTGTTTTATACCATCCACCATTTATTTTAAAATCTAACATTTACTGGTGCTTGTATTAAACTGATCTGTATAATCAAAACAAATAAACGAGACCAAAGTGGCCTAGGTATTGACTCAAACCTGTTCCCACTCAAGTTAATGGGCATTTTGCACTGCTTTAATAGGAGCAAAGGGCCTTATATCAGTGTCTTAGTATTTTATTGATTCTAGTGTAATGAATATGCTTAATAAAATGTCAAATCCTGAAATGTTTTGAGTGCCCACTGTCTTCACTGGGAATTGAGAATGTAGCAACCTTTTTAGGGTAAAAAATCAGTATGTGATAGAATAGCAGTACAAACTCCTAGGCTAATAATAAAGGGAAAACAAAGGGTGATTAACTCATTCATAAGTATAGCGATCACTATACTAAGAATAAGAAAAAGGTCATCATTTTTAACAACAAAAATAAATACCAGCAAGATTCTTGGTGATGCGTATTTTATGGATACAGTCAATACTATTACTTTAAAAGCCTCATGAAAGCTTTATTTAGTAGACAAAACATTTTCAGGAGTCTTGAAAATCATAGGCATAAAGCTGCATTATTGGCGTCAAATATATTTTCAGCTTTTCCATTGATCATATCCATACATGCTTTGCAAAATCAGTCTAAATGCCCATACACTTTTTTTTCTCCTTTTGAAGATGTATGTTATACCTTTTGTAAAAGTACTGTTGTTTTTAATCCCTATTCTTTGGTTCCCTTTTTTTGTTTTATTTTTATTCTCCCTAGACAATGGAGACAAGGAGATAGAACCTTATGAAGGTCTGTACAAAAAGGAGGGTTTGTTTTCTGCTTGAAAGTCTTGTAGGAAGGCTGTATAAGCAAAAATAAACCCAACTGCAATTGATGTTGCTTGATTGCATAGATTTTGTTAGGTCAGTGGAAGGATTTTTATGATAATTATTCACTCATGTATTTTTCCCCATTTGTAGTTCATAAATTCTACGGTGATCACCCCTAAAATGTAGTATTTTGCTTCAAATAACATTACTTAAATGTGGCCTCAATTGAGCAAAATAATTAAACATGTGCCTAACTTTCAGCACATAAGTAGTCACTTTACATTAAATGAGACTCCTCCATGTGTGTAGGCATATGTGCTAGTATCTTACAGAATGACGTTGTATATGATTCCTTAGAAAATATAGAAAATATTTAGGCCCTGATCATACACAAACTTACATGAGTTGTCCTACTGAAATCATTTGGACTTCTCATGTGCGTGAAGTTAAACACAAGTATTGCTACTTGCAATATCAAGACCTTAGGAATATATTTAAATTGAAGCACGACAATAGTCCATTAATTTCAACTGGCTACTGAGCATGCTTAATGTTAAACCTGCACATACATTTGTATATGATTGGGGCCAGAGTGTTCACTGCAAATACACATGTAACATTATTTTGTTGTCTAAAGCAATTGCTGAAGTTTAAGTCATATCTACTGGACTGAGAAGTAAAAATTCCCTGAACCAAGGTAGACTTAAAACTAAAAGCAATAAGAATTTTCCTAAAAATTAATCTCCCCACATGGAAGTGAAAAATATTTTATATAATTAATGCCAGCTTTGATACTCGATTTCCTTCATGACAAACCAGAAGATATCAATTGCAGTCCTTTTTTATGTCACTGAGGGTCTATTCATATCTGTCGCAACAGATTTTTATTTAGTGTTTATGATGTTTATTTCAGTTTTGGAATCAAACTTTCTATGGGCATTACCCTGATGTGCACTTTTCTGAAGTGTCTTTTGTGTTGTGAAAATGCATATATTACAGCTAAATATAGTAAGGTTATGCCAGGAGATAGTATACTAACATGGAATCTGTGCTATTTTTCACTGTTTGCATATTCTATCCTTTTCCCTTACTCTTTGTTTGTGTTATCTGTTTACATTGTAAACTTTTGCGGCCAAGATTGGCTATTATTCTGAGTTTGTATAGGACCTACCACAATGGGTACTCAGTCATTTTCTATGCCTCCCCATAATAAATACATTTTAAATGTATTTATTTAATAAATGTTTATGAGAAATCTAGAGTTCTTGATTGTACTAATATTATATGAGAAAATACACTGATGGTTTCAAAGCATAAATTCTTATTTTGTTTTTACTGAATATTAGTCTAAAAAGTAGATTTTTCTGAACATTTGGATTACAGGCAACTGTAAAGTACATAGACATTGGTTTTTAACATACAAAGTATGATCATATATTCAAGCCACAATGGCTAGACCTATACAATGGCTAGACCTATAGCATTTTACATTTTATACAGATGTGTACTTTTTTACACAATTTTTTCTATAATTTGTGAAGAAAAAATATAAATGTTGTTTGAGAGATTCTGTAGAATGAGTATAAATATTTTACTTTTATATCCTAGTTTATAAACCATACCCTTAATCTACTGAATCTTTGTCTCAATGGTCTACATAGGGTTTTTGGGGTTTTTGGTTTTTTCAGTGTGGAAAGAATAGCTCATGTTCCAATCAGAAGCCAGGTAACTCCATTTTGTGACTCATTGTATGCAGTTACTCAAGTCATAAGTAACCTCCGTCAGTGACTGAATGAGATTGTGATTACTATGCAGATTCCAATGTTCATATTGAAAACAAGTCTGACTTAATTGACAACTAGTGGTACCCAGAACATTGACCAAAATGGAAACTTATTTAATTAACAAATAATGAACAAAATTAGTAGAACAAAAAAAAAAAAAAAAAAAACAGCAGCACTAAAGGCAACAACAAATAAAACTGAAAGTTGTCAGGCATTCTGCAGATTATTATTTATCATTATATGTTGTGTGATAGTACGCAAAGATTCCTGGCAAGCTCAGATATTTGTGCTAGGCATTGTACTAACACATGGTAAGAACTGGTCTGTAAGGGTATGTCTACACTGCGTCCCTAGTTCGAACTAGGGTAGCTAATGTAGTCATTCAAAGTTGCAAATGAAGCCTGGGATTTAAATATCCCGGGCTTTATTTACATGTTCCCAGGCACCGCCATTTTTAAATGCCCCATAGTTCGAACTACCTGCCCGCGGCTACACGCGGCACGGGCTAGGTAGTTTGAATTAAAGCTCCTAATTCGAACTACCGTTACTCCTCATTGCAGGAGGAGTAAAGGTAGTCCAAATTAGAAGCTTTAATTCGAAATACCTAGCCCATGCCGCGTGTAGCCGTGGGCAGGTAGTTCGAACTACCGGGCATTTAAAAATGGCAGCACCCGGGAACATGCAAATAAAGCCCGGGATATTTAAATCCCAGGCTTTACTTGCAACTTCGAATGACTACATTAGCCACTCTGAACAAGGGTGGCAGTGTAGACATACCATAAGAGTGATGTAAATGTGGATAGACAGAAGACACATTTTCCCATGATTTAAAAAAAAAATGGCTGCACAGCATAAGATTGAGTACTGTATGTTGAATATGCTGGATTATTTATCTTTTTTGCATTTTAAAAACCAACCTTTTATCTTTGACGAGTTGAAATGTAGATGTTAATGTAACAAAAGAGATAATTAAAAATGTATCAAAGGGAAACAGACAGAAGTTAGTCCATGTCATCTCTCTATTGCACATGAAGGATAAAAGGTTTTTAAAAGATCATGATCTGATGATCCTTAATGTTGTGACTAATCTATATTCATTTCAGGCTCAGTACTTATTACACATGTCTGAAGAAAATAGTAAAAGTGCTATGATTCTAGATGGAAACAAAGCATAGCTCCTCAGTCTAGGTCCCCTTTTGCTGTAGCTGAGTATTCAGCTTTTAGTGTGTAACAGTGTGAAAACTTGCTTTACACTATGGTGACTGCTGGTGGCGGCAAGGGGCCATTCTCTTTTCAAGAGTTTAGTTGGGAAACCATAGTTGCTTTGGCTAGCTGCTATATTTATGATCTTTTTGTGTTGATGAGCCAGTACACAAGTCTTGTACTGCACTGAAGTGTCTGGATCTAGAAGGTGGCTTTGTTTGTTTTGTTTGTGTGCTTTTTATGTATGTAATATTTCAAGGGAATTTTCACATTTGAAAACATTTTTTAAGGTTGAATTCTGCATATGGTATGGCACTCCTTAGATTCATAGAAAATTATTTCTTTCTGGTTTTCTGTGTGTCTGTCTTTCTCTCTAGTGTAACCATTAACAAGGAATTAGAAATAGAACATCATACTCAATGAGAAAGCAAAATTCAAATAATTATTTGAAAATTCTGTGAGAAACTGTAAATAACAATGAGAAAATGCAATGTATGAGTAAAAAACAAATTAATTGAATGCAAAAAAATGGACTTATAGAAAGACATGTCCAACTCAGCATGCTTTTTTACTCTTCACTATAGCTACTATGTTCACAGATATGTTATATAGGAAGAGTTCTGGTTCTTTTTTATGAGTACTCATTAGTACATGAAATAGGTCAAATACAATTTATATTTTAATAGATTGTTTATCTTATACCGGCTGATGTAATTAATGACTCTTTTGCACTTTTTCATATGGCAGTAAAATCTACATGTACTTATCCTAGCGCTTCCATTTTAATTGTAGTTCCTAAACAAAAGTTAATTGAGCTAATATTTTTGTTGAATTCTGGGTTTTCTGAAATTCAGCTAACTTGCTGTTTAGTTGCAAATTGATTAACATCCTCTTTTTTATAATTTTGCAAGTGAAAGAATTGGGTTTGGGGCATTATTTACATTGCTCTTAGTGGGCATATGCAGGTAACTCTCAAATTTGTAGTAATGATTTGTCCACATAATTAAAACAGCTGTTGACTGATTCAAGAGTTGTTGCAAGAAAAAACAAAACCAAACTAGAGTGGATGCTTTAGCTTTAGATCTTTAAAGCTTATACCGTGCCTGTTTTTCTCTGCTTCAGTAATTATTATCTGCTTTCCTATGCATCACTAATTAATTCAGAAACCATCAGGTCAGGAAAATTAAGGGCCACATCCTTCCTTTTTCCTTTCACAAAGCTTTCATTGAACTAAGTGGAAGTCATGCATAAAAAAGCAAAAGAGAATTTTGCGCTACTTGAATTAAGTGCACCCACATACACAGGATTTATTTCACCTCTGATTGACTTAACAAAATTATTTGTGCCAAATAGTGAGGAATTGTCTATTATTTGTTTGATATTTGTTGTTTATTTGATCAGCTTGTAACAACAAATACATGTTTTTGTCTCACTTTTTTTTGTTTTGTTTTGCTTATATGAATGCAGAAGGAGATGAAGAAAACAAGCATATTGGAGAGCAGGGGTCAGAGGTTGAGGCAGGTCTGTCTGACCACATCTGCATATCCCCTTTAGATATATTTCCCTATGAGCACATATGCAAAATTCTCTAGGTAGCTTGGAAATATATTAAGATGCAAAAACCAGACAGTAATAATTTCATTTAATTTAAGACCATAGCAAACAAATTCAGTGCATCACGGATTATTCACTGATTTTAAAATGCTTAAAGGGACCATGTAGAGCATTTCTCAACCAAATGTTTAACCTAAAAAATTTTTATAATCGTATCCACTGGCTAATAGATATCCATTTTTATTAAAATCCTCTACGCTGCCACAAAGAAGAAATCTCACCAATTATTATATGCATAGTATTGAAATATTTTTCTTGTGTTTCCTCCAATCATCAGAATAAGCCCAGGTTAATTAACAAATCCTGACCCAGACACATGCTAACAGTCATAATGCTTTTGAAAAACAAAGTCAAGACTTTGCCATATTGCTGTGTTGTC